GGAAGGAGACCACCAAGGGCGTTGGAAGCCCAGAAGACTCCTGGCGCAGTCCTGAGTCTGTCAAAGTGGAGGACAGAAGAACCCAAGCGGTGCCCTGCTGGATCAGACCCCTGGCTCCTCTAGTCCAGCAGTCTGTTCCCCCAGTGGCCCACCGCCTGCACCAGGAAGCCCACTGGTCTCCCAGCAGATGGCCTTTAAAGCCATACCCACTGCCATGAACGTGGATCCTCTGGACTTGCATGAATTGGTCCAACCTTCTTTTGAAGCAACTCAGCTGGTAGCCAGTGCCAGTCCTCATGATAGGAAATGCCAAAACTGAATTGTGCATGGTGTAAAACAGTATTTCCTTTTGTCTGTCCTGATTCTTCCAGGATTCAGTTTAATTGGGTGACCTCTGGTTCAAGTCTTTGGGGAATTTGTCTGTCCTGATTCTTCCAGGATTCAGTTTAATTGGGTGACCTCTGGTTCAAGTCTTTGGGGAAGGGGAAACAGCTTCTCCTTGTCCACTTGATCCACACCATGCCTGGTTTTGTACACCTCAGTCAGGTCCCCTCGTTTGCCTCCTTTGTAGGCTAACAAGCCCCAAATGCCGCAATCTTTCCTCACAGGGAAGCTGCTTCAGCCCTTTCATCATCTGAGTCGCCCTCCTCTGACCCTTCTTTAGCTCCCTTGGATCCTCTCTGAGATGTGGCGACCAGAACTGCAGACGATATTCCAGGTGTGGTCGTGTTCTTGACTTCAATAAGGGCATTATGATATTAGCCTCTCTGTTTTCAATGCCTTTTTTATTATCCCTGGCACACTGTTGGCCTTCTTTACAGTGGATACCCACTGGGTCGACACCTTCATTGAACTGTTTCCCTTTACTCCAAGTTCTCTTTCCTCATTTGTCCCAGCTAGCTCTGATCCCATTAGCTTCTATGAGGAGTTAGGATTGTTGGCCCCAGCATGTATCACATGGGCTGACCTCTACTGTTTGGATGCCCGCTCCCCGAATGGGCAGAGAACCTTTGGAGCTCTTCGCGGTCCCTTAGGGTTTTTACCACTCTGAACCCTTTAGTGCCATCAGCAAATTCCATGAGTCATGCCCTGTTCCAGATCATTTAGAAATCTGTTAAAAAGAAGCGATCCTTGGACAAAACCCTGGGAACCCACAAGAGGACCTGCCCTTTTATTCCATGACTGAGAAGTCTTTGCTAAGGGACTTTATCAAAGATATTTTGAAAATCAGAGTAGGTGATGTCTAGTGGCTCGGCCTTATCCACATGTTTATTACCACCCTCAAAAACTCTAGCAGATTAGTTAGACAGGACCTTCCTTTAGTGGAGCCATGTTGGGTATCCTTGAGCAAGACTTGGGTTTCCAGATGATTGGTAATTAATAGCAGTTTCCACTCTCTTCCCCAGAACAGATGTTAAGCACACAGGTCTATAATGTCCTGGATCTCCCCATGAGCCCTTCTTAAAAACGGGAGTTACGCGGGCCACCTTCCAGTCCACAACTCTGGAGGCTCTGCAGGTTGCCTATTTTGATGAGAAAGTCCACAATCTCAGCTCTGAGCTCCTTCCAAACCTCGGGTGGATCTCATGGGGGCCTGGTGATCTGCTGAGTCTCAGTTTGTCCATAAGGCCCAGCGCTGCTTCTCCTGTCACCGCTCTGGGGCTCAGCTCAGCTGGTTCCCCTCCTGAGAACAGAGCAAAGGCTCAGGGACTCCCCCAGTTTGCCTCCCGTGAAGACGCAGGCAAAGAAGACCCAGCTGAGGGAGAGATGCAGAGGGTGGAGGTGCAGAAGTTCAAGGGGGGCCCTGCAGTAGAAGTCTGGAGAGAAAGTCGTGTGAGCCCCCTGGGGGTTTTGGGCCACTCCCACCCTTTCAGCCCAACCTACCTCACAGGGTTGTTGTGGCGGGGAGGAGGGTGCATTATATGTGCTGCCCTGAGCATCTGAAGGCGGCCTTTTAAAAGAAATAAATGAATAAATTGCGGACAGATTCATAAATGAGTCCTATAAGACACAGAAATAGTCCCGTTATACAGACCTAGAAATAAGGAATAATTCTATAAGAATGTTATATAAAATAAGCAGGAATCAAATATTTGAACTGTAAAACCAAAACCTTTATTGATTTAAGAAATTTTCCCCTGCATTGAACGTTTCCATGACTTCTTGTCTGTTGCCAAGTCTGGGCTCCAGCTGGCCATTTTTGGTCTGAAGCTCCTTCTGCAGCTGGTCTCCTGGCCGAGGAAGCGGAGTCACTCCAGTCCCTCTTTCTTGAACCCGATTCTCAGCTTCCCGCTTAGATCTGAATCACGGAATCATAAAACCCCCATGTGAACGTGTCAAAGGGCCCATGAAGAGGCTACATTAAAAAACAATTAAGCTTCAAAATCCATTTAAAAGGTCAATAACACTTTGGGTGTGCAAATCGCTCTTTGAATGAGACGGGCAGCGACTAAATTTGAAATAAAAATAAATATTGGGCCACTTGCTACTGTTCCTAAGGAAAATATTTCTTCGTGGCCCTTCAAGATTTCATTCGTTGTACTAAGCCACAGTTTGTTTCTCGTTATGCTGAAGTGGGAACCAGCCCTTGTGACTTCATGCTTTTTGTGAATGCAGACCACACTTACGGTCACCAGATCCTTCTTCCCAGATCGACTGGATCCTCTTTGAGGCCACAAGATTCTCGGTCCCTCTTTGGAGCTGCAGATTCAGGCAACTGTTCCCACTCTGGGATCCTGACATCGAGGGAGGGGAGAAGGGGGCTAGTTGGGGGAGGCTTTCTTTCCCTTCAATGCTAGTGAGGAAATAGGGTGTTGGTTCTCCCTCTTGGAGGATTTGGGGGCAACTACTCAGACATGGAGGACTCCTGAGAGAGCAACAGGGGCCATTTTCAGGGGGCCAAGCCCTCTTGGGCTCCTGGATCCTTTTCCTTCTGGGTTGGGAGGTTCCCCCTTTTGGGGGGCAGTGGGTAGAGGGGCAGAGGCTGGGGAACCCCTTGCCATCCCCCATTCCTTTGGGGAGCAGAAGAACTGGGGAAGGGCCCCTGAGTTGGCTTTTCTCAAGGAAAAGGAGGTTGTGGGGACTGGACTCTATACTTTTTGGAGGGGGAACCAGAGCCCCCATCATTGTGATGTGTGA